ATTCTATGAGAGAGAATGCGGGGTAAATTTACCCGCATTGTGGAAAAGACAAGAATAACCAAGGTTTTTATCTACCGCACACCAGAGAAGGTCTGACTTCTGAATTATGGTTTGCCCGCGGCCACCTTTGCTTTTACCTTGGCTGTGAAGTCTTTCGTATTAATAGGCATATGTGTGACACACATATGCACACAGCATATTTACTTATTTCCTCTTCTGAGGATTTAATTCCAGGTATGTATCTTTACACCAAGGAGGTAGAACTTTCTTGGAAGGGAAGGCAAGAATGAAAGAAAACAATTAAGCAAGAAGTGCAGAGGTCAAAGGAATAAGGCGTATGTCACACCGTGGCTAACACACGGCCCCTTGTGCACGTTTAAAAAGATGCGCTACGTGAATGAATTACAAAAGGGACTCCTTCCTCTGGGAATTAAGGTAGATTCTACCCCTCACATGCCCCCCAACTGGGCACCTTTGTTCAGGCTTGGACAACCCAGCCATACACAGCGGCCCTGACCCATGAGGAAGATGAAAGACTAGAGAGAGCTTGTTGAGTAGAAGTAAGAAAAAAGGAGACTTTGATGAAGATGTGGGTAATTTTGTAACTTATACGTGGGTCCTGGAGAATTTTACAAAGGAAAGCCTAACAAGACTAAAGAACAGAGGAATCAGGAAGGAGGGAGGGGACAAAAGGGAAAGTGTCCCTAATAGAAACTTGCATGGTGGGAGCTTCACATTACAGATAAGCAGCTAAAACCGAGTGATGTGTCATATACGTGGATGAAATCTGAAAATCATGTACACTGGTCCAGTTTTCTTATTTTGTCCACCTATGCACAACTCAGTTCACATTTCCCTTTACTTCTCTGCCAACACCTGCAGAGTTCCATGTTTTAGAACTTCCTCAAGGTGTCAAGCCTACTTATTTCTTGATAGGTCTTAGCGGGGGAGAAAAATAAATGCTAAGTGCATGGTAACTGCTAATAAATATTCAACAATATAATTTTTATAACAAGAACCTACATAACAATTAAAATTTAAAACTCTTGAGAAACTAATTTTCGTTCCTATCTGGATAATTCCTGGTAACTAAATAAAGTGGTATTCTTTATATAATTTTTTAATGAAACACAGTTGACTTTGGATATGTAGGAATTTCTGCATATTAATACCCTAAAAGACCACACAGTCTAAATCATTACTTTAGAGGCTGAGCATGGTAGCTCATGCCTATAATCCCAGCATTTTGGGAGGCTGAAGCAGGAGGATCACTTGAGGCCAGGAGTTCGAGACCAGCCTAGGCAACATAGCAAGACCCTGTCTCTACAAAAAAATAAGAAAAATTAGCCAGGCATGGTGGTACACACCTGTAGTCCTAGCAACTTGGGAGACTGAGGCAGGAGGATAGCTTGAGTCTGGGAGATCAAGAATGTAGTAAGCTGTGATCGTGTCACTGCACTCTAGCCTGGGTGACAGCGTGAGACCCTGTCTCTGAAAAAAAATTATTATTTATTTACAGCTTTGACTATTACATTCTGGGTTTACAAATATTTACAGAACATGAATTTGGCAAGAATACTAAACATATTCCTACCCTATGACTCAGCAAACCCATATCTAGATATATAGCCAACAAAGTACACAAGAATTTTCTAAGCAACTTTCTTTATGAATAAAGATACAATGTGAAACTATTAACAACCCAAATATCCATCAATAGACATGATAAATTATGGTAGATTAATGCAATGGAATACTACACAGCAATAAAAAAGAAAGAACTACTGACAAATACAAGAAGGATGAATCTTGCAGATGTTACATTGATGAAAACAAAGCAGACAGCAGATATGTACTGTATGATTCCATTTATCAGAAATTCAAGATCAGAAAAAAATAATCAATGGTGATAAACATCAAAATAGTGATTGACTTGACAGGGGTGGGGAGTGGGAATAATTGGCTGGGGAGGGACACGAGGTTACCTGTACATATGTATGCTCAGGTAACCAAAGCAAGATATGGAACCTTCCAATTCCATTCCAAAGTCCTGTCTTGATCTGGGTGTGGTTACAAGAGGAGAAAAAAATGTACGCGCTCACACACACACACACACACACACACACACACACACACACGTTCATCACGCTATACGCTTAAGATTAGTGTACTTGATGCATTATATCTTTCTTAACCCTTAAAAAAATAAGAAATTGAATGAATAAATATAAATGGATATACATAAGAAGCTTAAGTCTAAGATAACAAATTCAGCAATTATAAAGGGCTAAGAAAGAATGTTATTTAAGTATAAGCCAATCCATATTTTCATGTTATCCCACCAAAGGTTTGGCTACCAGTGGATACATCGTCTTTTATATTTGTAAAACATCAAAGGTTTTGTCAGTCACATTTGTTTTGACAAATTCAGTGTTTTAGGCCTATTACCCATGCTAGCTTTGTATGAAATACGTGGTAAGACTCATGATACTGCTGTTTATTACATGTAAAAAGTTACTATAACTTGTTGATTCTAAGATACATATCATTTTCATATCTCAACATTCCAAATCACAATGCGTCTAACAATTAATCAATGGTATATCATAGTTTAATTGGCAGCGTTTTTTTACTTCTTAGGAGTATATAAAATAATGATGCTTCTAATAATGAATGGACAACATCTTAGATTCCATGAAGTAAGTTAGATTGAGAGACTTATTTTCAAAGTTGTCGTCCCTTATATGGGTCACGCAGTGGTGGGCATTGCAAAAGGGCAACTGAGCAGGAAGGCTGACTTGGTATTGCCGGATCTGCTAATTTTTTGAGAGAAGCCAAAAAAATTTAATTTATTATATAAAATTTCCTGACCTGTAAATGTTGGCTCAAATAGAAACTATATTTGTAAGCTGACTCTATCCTGTGGGATGCCAGTGTGCGACCTCTGGCTGCATGTAAGCTCTTTGGGGGTGGGAGTCTTTAACTGTTGTGTTTGATGTGTACCATAAATATCTAGGATGGGATTTGGTATTTGGTAGGTAATGAATATGTGTTTTATGAATAAATAAAGCTAACATTAAATCTCGCTGACCCATGCAGAACAGTATTTAGAGAAATAAAAACGCACAATGTTTTAAATGCCATGTCTGATAATATAGAAAGAATCTCATAATTAGCTCTAAGTAGGGTTTTCTTTATTTGATATATCTGGAAATTATTGAGGGAAATTTTCTATATGGTAGAAAATCCTTTCATGCTGTCGACTAGCTAATTCCCACTTAATCTTCAGACCTCAGCCAATGTCTTTTTCTGGAAGTCCCTTTCCCAAGATTCCTACTCCCCTTCCCCTCCGTCCCCCGTCACTTGTCTGGGCTCCATGGCAGTCCGGGCTTGCCCCCATTATAGACCTTCTCCCTGCCACGTGCACCAATGTCCTCAACTTCTTTAATTCAGGGGCTGTGAACTTCCTAAGGGCAGTCTGCTGTCTGACTTTGTATCCCTTGGCACAGAGCAAGCATTCAACAAATGTTTGTTAATTGATTTTGTGGTATTGAATTATAAAAGTAAAGTTCTCTCCAGTATTGTGCTTTTCTTTTTCTAGACTAGCTTTCAGTTTTGCACCAATGTCCCACCATTGCCCCAGCAAATAGGTTTGGAGCCTCTGTTAGGACTAAGTCACAGTTGCGACCTGCAGAGATTCAAGGTCTGAGCAAACAGACATACATGATTAATTGTGTGTTAAATTCCGTAATAAAAGGGGGAAACGTGCTGTGAGAATATTCAGGGCATTCATTATGATTTAGGGAGTCTGGGAAGGGAAGGACTTAGATTCCTGCCCAAGGTTAGCATTAAGGGAGGATTTTCTCCTACGCAGGGAGTAGCTCTCAGAACAACTACTTCATTGTAATGATTCGTGGTTTTTTAACGGGCTCCGCATAATACCGGGCAACTCTCCCATGCACGGTTCCTACATGCTTGGCAAGGAAGTCACTGAGAACACCCTAAAAGTGGGGGAGGATAGAAAATATTGTGTGGGAAGCAGGTAAAGAAAGATAGTGAGTGCTCGCTTCCCACTCAAACCTTTCGGTAATGGCAAGAAATGGAACCTAGAGGAGACAGCATGCTTTTTCAAGATGGGAAAGTCCTGTACACTTTTAAATCAGAGGGCAAGCAATTACTGGAAGGCAGGATTACAAGATAGCTAAAGATAAATATTGGAATAAGATCCTTTGGGTCATGAAGTCATGTGAAGTAGATCACAAGGAAGAGGAATTCAGTTTAGTCTCAAAATAAATAAATGTTAAACAGGGAATAGACTGTCTTAATGAAAGGGTGATATTAATCACAACTTAATCTTTAAGCTGCTACCACTTGGGAACCATTTTAAATGCACATGCATGTGCACTCTGCCTCAGCCCAAGAACGATCAGAGGCAGGACCCACTGAAGAGAACCCTGCAGAAGATTTCTGGAAATCATATCACTTTCTTCACATTTTCTAGTACAATTTTAATACTTCCCTTTACAGAAACAAAATTAGAGTCAAGCAAAGCATGTTTGCTGATTCATTCCTTCAATAAACATTTAAAGGCTACCCACTAAGTGCAAAGCCCTGATCTAGAGATGAAAATGTGTTTAATTTTACCCCCGGCTCTTCACTCCTCCTCGAGTCCGTTTTCTGGAGGAATAAAACCACAGGCAATAGTATCTATTGTTAGACTTTAGCTGTTCCTGATACATGAAGCTAGGTATTGGACACTCGCTATCCAGGACAGCTTTACCAATAAAATTACCACCTTTTTCCCCAAATAATTCTCAAGATTTTATTGTTAATAATGTGAACTTAACCAGAAATGTTCTCTTCCCCCTTTTGTAATCACAAATCTTGCACTGGGGAGACAAAGTATGATGATATCTATGCGAATACAATTTAGGTAAATGGTCACACTTTGCATATGAGTGGACACCATGCAAATAAATGTATACATTAAAATTGGACAGTACTTAAAGAGATTCAGTAATTCATTCCATTGCCTCTGCAAATAAAAGAACCAAATCCCATTTATGCAATTGCTGAAATATGGCAGATAATGATGCATTCATGTTTAATATTGCTAATAAATTTGAAAGTTCACATTTTTATTGATAAACATTTTCTTGAAATGCAGTATAGGAGGACAGATTGTTAAATTTAAGTACTTTATAAATGAGAATTGTAGATAGCGATGTGATTAGTGGCAGTGCTATGTCAAGAGCCATCTACCAACTTACCTGCACTCCTCCAAGCACTCAGCGATGACTTTCATATTTCACTTTTATGTGCAACCAAATTGCACACAATTTTAGGGGAAAAAATTAGCGTAGTAACAGAGTAATGATCATAGTAAATATTGTGTTCCTCCTTATTGACTTAAATTACATGCTTGCAATATTTCAGAAAAATATTTCTGTTAGTCCAGCTTTATATATTAAAACATTTTGCCTATAGATTTATATATAGAAGAAATACATAAGTCTCTTATAAAATTATCTCTTTGACACACACAAAAGTATATTGTACAGTCCCTTTTGAGATCTAAAAATTATTTTTATTCATTGGAAACTATAAAATCTCAATATCTCCATATGCATAGGCTTTAATGAAATATTGTATAGCTCAGGATACCCAAAGAATTCTTTCCTTTTGGG